TACTTCTGATAGTACTATAATTCTTGGGTTCCATAGTAGATCTGATGTAAATGAGTTTCATATTAACTATTTTTATATAGGGATAGTTCTATATATCACTTAATTATAAAACTGTTAATTATATAATCACATTATGACTAAATTTTGATCCCTGAATCTTTGGTAATACCAATGTTCACTTTGTCTGGTTTTGTTGCAGCATGCCCCATATAACAGCTTATTGGAATCATAGTAAATAGATGAAACTGCAGTTAGAAATTGTGAAGAAGCAGTACATGAACTAGATGTGTGTTATGACTATTGTTTGTATGACCAAAATCATTTTCATTATTATTATAGAGGGATTAAGCAAAATGAAGCCTTTTTCACACAGAGAAAAATGTGTATTAAGCATTGTTGAAATATCATTGAACAGAAACTTCAATACACAACATACACAGTGAATCTTGGTTTAACAGATAGTTTGGGCAATTAGGAAATTTTTCCAAGAATCCATTATATTGAGAAGGTTTTTATTAAGGAACAATTCTTGAACTTCATCACCATTTAAACTCAATTGTAAGAAAAGCCAAATCCGACTATAGGCCCAATTTATTTGTTGTTCTTAGGTTCAAGGGAGTTCAGGACCTAAAGCACAGAATTGTAGGATTGATTTAAAGTCATATGAAGCAAAAAACAAAGTGTTATGCTTGGGCCAAATCTATTATATGGTCTAGAAATTTTTTTTATTTCATTCTTCCATCAGTTCTTCTTCAGCCGTTGTTGAGTCAAACCATTCTTGTATTTTATTATCATATATAAGGCTCCAAATGAATCAACAAAATTGAACTGAATTGAAATCATATCCAGTTTTTTTGAATTCAAATAGCTTTAAAATTTGACTTGATTCAATTGTTTGGAGCCTTAATCATATCTGAAAATTTTGATCTTTCATTTTCATGGTTTCGGCATTCTCTTTAAACACCAGAGATTGAGAACTTTAAATGGAAAAATCAGCCCGTGTATAAAAAACACATCAGTCACGTGAATATGAAGATATGGTTAATTAGCTCTCATAGCTCAGTTGGTTAGAGCGTCGTGCTAATAACGCGAAGGTCGCTGGTTCAACCCCAGCTGGGAGCAACAAATAATAGAATTTATTTTTTTTATTACAATCAATTTAATTTAATAAAAACAACAGCAATAATATTTATATATTTAAAAACAATGTCAGATGCTAAATATTTTCAAAGAGGTTCCTCTATATTTTCTTTTTCGTTAAAACATTTTCCTTTTCATTTATTCTAATTTCATTTAAACTTAATTCTTATTTTTAATATTTTTAATTTTGCATTTAGGTAAAATCCAAGAACTTCGTACCGAGCTAAATTCGGAAAAGAAAGATAAGCAACATGTAAAAAAGAAGACAGTACTTAAAAAGATTGTAGCCAATATGACGATGGGAAATGACATGTCACCATTATTTCCTGACGTAATTAGTTGTATGAAAATTCCCGTACTAGAAATCAAAAAAATGGTTTATCTTTATTTAATCAATTATTCAAGAACAAAACCTGATATGGCTGTCATGGCTATACCGACTTTAATTAAGGTAGATAAGTCATTTATTATATTATATATATATATATATATATATATTGAAATTTTTATTTTTTGATAGGATGCAGAAGATCATAATCCTTTAATAAGAGCATTAGCGATAAGAACGATGGGTTATATAAGTGTTGAAAAGGTGGTGGATGCTTTGATTGATCCATTAAGACATTCTTTACGAGACCAAGATCCATATGTAAGAAAAACTGCTGCAATCACAGTATCAAAATTATATTTGTATGATAGATCATTAGTAGAAAGTGAAGGATTTATAGATATGTTGAGAGATATGTTGGCCGATTCCAATCCTACCGTATGTGAATATATAAATATAAATATATTTATATGATTTTTTAGTTAACTATTAATCAATCAAGAAAAAAAATTTTTTTTTTGAATGAATGAATGTGAATATTTAACTGGGAATGTATATATATAATTTATTTGTGATAATAGGTTGTTGCAAACGCTGTCGCTGCTCTAACCGAAATATCAGAAAGATCAGATAATATCTCATTAAAATTAAATATGACAATTGCTAACAAATTAGTAACAGCTTTGAATGAATGTTCCGAGTAAATAATTATAAAATTATTATTTGATTAGATTTAAATATTTTCCTATCATTATTTATTTATTATCCAATTACTATTATTTTATAAAATTTATTATATAGATGGGGACAAACATATATACTTGAATCTTTGATGTTTTATGTCCCTTTAGAAATGGGAGATGCAGAGATGTTGGCTGAACGTATTGCACCAAGACTACAACATGCTAATTCTAGTGTAGTGCTAACTGCAGTAAAAGTTATCATGTATTTAATGAATTACATGACTAAAGAAGATGATATTACAAATATGTGTAAAAAATTATCCCCTCCTTTAGGTAAAAAAAAAATTTTTTAATTTATAAATATATATATATATATATTTATATTTTATTTAAAAAAAAAATCTCATATATTATTTATTAGTGACATTACTTTCAAGTGGACCGGAAGTTCAGTATGTGACACTTCGTAACATACTATTAATCATTCAAAGAAGACCAGATGTATTAAGAAATGATATTAAAGTATTTTTTTGTAAATATAATGATCCAATCTATGTTAAATTGGCAAAACTTGAAATAATGTTTCGATTAGCCAATACTGACAATGTCGATCAAGTTCTCTCAGAATTAAAAGAGTATGTAAAAAATATTATTATTTTTTATTTTTCTTTAAAAAAATTCTCTATTCAACTTAATATTATTAACATTAACATCGACATTGTTGATTAGATATGCAACTGAAATTGATGTAGATTTTGTTAAGAAGGCTGTAAGATCGATTGGCCGATTGGCTGTGAAAATTGAATCTACAGCAGATCTTTGCATAGCAGCTTTATTAGAACTTATCCAAACAAAAGTTAATTATGTTGTTCAAGAAGTGATCATTGTCATTAAGGTACGTATATGTATATTGATACCGTATATGTATGCATACGTCTTTCATAAAAATAATAAATATAATTAATTTCATACGTATATATTATGTATTGCATATTATTATTATTATTAGGATATATTTAGAAAATATCCAAATAAATATGAAAGTATAATAGCGACATTATGTGAAAATTTAGATAACTTGGATGAGCCTGAAGCAAAAGCAGCAATGATTTGGATAATAGGTCAATATGCTGATCGTATAGATAATTCTGATGTATTATTAGATGATTTCCTGTATACATTCCTTGAAGATCCTGTAGAGGTAAAATAATAATCATAATAAAATGTGATTATGATTAAATAATAAATATATTTTTATATATTTTTACATTTTTATATATACTTTTAGGTTCAGTTATCATTGTTAACAGCAATTGTAAAACTTTTTATTAAAAGACCTGCAGCAGGACAAGAACTTGTTCCAAAAGTATTAAAATTAGCAACAGAAGATGTTGACAATCCAGATCTACGTGATCGGGGTTATATTTATTGGCGTTTGTTATCGACTGATCCTGCTGCTGCAAAAGTAATCATTAATTATTAATATAAGTTGTATATATATATATATATACACATATTCTCAAAATCAAATATTTCTCTCTCTCTTATATAGGCTGTTGTATTATCAGAAAAACCAGGAATTACCACCGAATCAGAAAATATGGAACCTGCTTTATTGGATGAATTGTTATTGAATATTTCAAGTCTTTCATCAATTTATCATAAATCTCCACAAACTTTTATTCATCATTGTAAACCTCATTCTTTAATCCAATCTCCAGTTTTGAATAGAAGATATTCAAGAAAAACACAAGATTTATTTGACACCGATTTTGATAAATATATTAACGAGTAAGTGTATTAAATTTCACCTCATCATTTAATTTTATTTTATCAATGTATTCAATAATAATTTTTTTTAACATTATGATGATAGTATTGGAATAATCGAAACAAATCCTTATAACGTAGATGTTGCAAAAATCGATGTTCAATCAACATCAAATAATTTACTTTTAGATTTGTAATTAATATATTTATAATTTTCACTTTCAATTTTAATTTTTAAATCTAGAATTAATTTTAAAAAAATTTTTTTTTGTATAATTAAATTTACATTGTTTTTTAAAATTGGTGCGATGCTCTATTACCTTTTATTTGAATTTAATATTAATAACTAGTAGTCGACTAAGGGTTTTTGGACGATTCCAACCTCTGGAAAGAGTTTTTGGTATGGCATAACCTTCTGACGTATTATTTACAATTACAATCAAACAATAGGATATATATTATATATATATTACAACATACATGTCTCGTGGGAACATAAATCCTTAAATGTTTCATTCACTAATTTAGTTTTCTTAAATTTTCAACTAATTTTTAATTCTTAATTTTCAACACTCCCCTACCATAAATATCCGACCACCCGATGACCATTTTAATAATCGGAAATATTACGCCTTATGCAGTTCAAAATTTCATTAATCAAACCAAGACTAATGCATTAAGTAAACATGTTTTTTAAAGTTGACTTGCATATAAAATTAAAGTCTTGTCGAGTTTGCATTATTAATGAATTTAGGATGAAAATTTTAAATTAGACAAAATATTCTGCGATTTTTATGAAAACTTTGAGCTTAGTAAAAACCTTCAAAACTCCGTTGGATCATGGATTACGTTATTAAGTAAGTCCACCTAAAATAACTTGAATTATATATGGTTAAAATTTGAGAAAATTTGATCAAGTATAGACAACAAAACGTAAAGCCTTAA